AGCTTTATCAATCCATATTATGTCAGGTATGTTGGCTTCGACCCTGCGATGATCAGCGGTGACTGCTACATTCGTCAAGAGCTTCCACCGTTTTGACTCCAAAACTGCTTCTGGCTTGAACTAGTTGTATGGGACCTCTTTCTGTATTATCTCCAACTTTGCAGCCAAGGCTTGATGGACAACCGCAGCAACATTGTTGTGCCGACTCAGGTACTCTGTTTGTGCCAAAGCAGGGCACCCGCCCATGATGTGTTGGAGGGTCTCGCCGGGTTGATTGCAAAAACGGCAGCGGCCCTCTACACTCATATCCCCAATTACATACCTTTGGTAATTGCGAGTGGAGGTTACTTCGTCCTGAATAGAAATGACGAACCCTTCTGACTCAGCAAAGAGGCCAGAGATTGTTAGTCTGGAGACTGACGATCCCATATTCACGGCGTTTCTTTTGGTCTCAGCAGGATACCTGCCGTGCGAACGCTTCTGGGTCCACTTACTCAGCCTATCTTCTTTGGTGATACATGGTCATTCAGAGTCCACATGATACAGGTTCAGTAGAGTAAAATTCTTGTGTGTGCCACAAATTGCTTTATGCATGACCGTCGTTTGCCGAAGGAAGTATTTGCGAAGATTTTTGATTTGCTTCGCATACAAGTATCAAAATCCAGAAGATCTCTACCTCCTTCGTTCTGAGGTAAGCATAATCTTGCCATTGAACTGTTGGGGTAGTGCATACGAAAAGTGGTCCTAATTTTTCGATTAAGCTCCTGCAATGTAGTTGTTGTCCAGTGAAGAACACCTAATGTATAGACAGCGACAGGTATTACGCAAGTGCTGATCGCTGATATGCGGTTCTTTCCATTTAAAAGAGTTTTACAGATTTTTGAGACTCTTTGAACAACTTTATTTTTAATATCACATCTGATTTTTGCTTCACTTGTGCTCAAAAGTTGGCGCAGGCCTAAATATTTATAAGTATCCTCTTGTCCAAGTTCTTGGATATTTGTGCCACAAATCAGTATCAGTTTGTCAGGATCAAGGATTTTCCCTCTTTTCACGTCCACTGCAGCGCATTTATCAATGCCAAACTCCATACAAAGAGAGTCGCTAAAGCACTTAACAAGGTCAAGCAAAGAGGAAAGCTGTTTATCTCTGGCGTACAACTTGAAATCGTCCATGTAGAAATAATGTTTAATGAGGATATGGGGACTTTTGGTGATTTCATATTCCATCCCTGAATCTCTTAACATTCTGCTAAGATGGTTTAGAGCTAGCAAGAACCATAAGGAACTAAGACTATCTCCCTGAAAAATTCCTCATTTTCTCCTCAGTTCCTTGGTGGTATAGCTGCCTCCAGCGAATGAGACTTTTATCTTTGTACGCCAAATTGCCATGCAGTGTTGCATGAAGCTCACATACTGGGCATTTACTTTGTAGAGGCGAAGGACATAGAAAAGCCACGAATGAGGTATCGAGTCGAAGGCCTTCGTATAATCAATCCATCCTACAAAAATGTTGCGGTGCCTTTTCTTAACTTGATTGACTACAACACTGTCTACTATCAATAATTCTTTGCAACCTTGAGTACCCATTCTGCAACTATTTTGCTCTGGTGCCAGAAGGGTATTAGCCTTTAGATGGGTATTCAGAATACCGGCTAGAACCATGTAAAAATAACATATACTGTGGGGAGACATGCGATAGGTCGACAGTCACTCGGAGTCTTAAGATCGCTTATAATAAACGAAACTCCTTCTCAGTAAAATACTTCTCACATTTGTATTTAATATTATTTTCTCACATTTGTATATATATATATATAATATATATATATATATATATATATATATATATATATATATTTTCTCACATTTTTATCTTTGTTTTAAACATTCCTTGAACTTCGAGAGATTCGTACAAATTTGTTTTAGTGTTGGTTAGTTTTAAAATAGATCTCTCTCTCTTTCACTCGTCTCAGTAGAATTGTAAATCGATTGGGTTGCACTTTATTCTTTTGACTGTTAAGTTCAATTTACTCTGACAGCTATTTTCCTTAAGTGAGAGATTTGTAACCTACTGTAGGACCCCAGTCGAACAAACTGACGATAATAAATATTATGCTTTGGAAAAACAATTGTTTGATAATAAGTTGGGCAGAAAAAAGTGACAATGGAGAACGCGGAACCGAATTTATATTGCTCGTTAAATAATAGTGGAATTTCGAGGCAGAAAACAGATGTTAGGAAAAAAACAATTTTGAGAATCATTCGGAAGCATTTGAAAAGGGGGTACCAAAATTTAGAAGAAAAACTTAGGGGCCGAAGACAATTGAATATAGGCAACTGACGTAAGTAGGAAAAGTTGGAATTTTTCGGAAAAGCAGGTGAATCGACAGAACATGAACTTTGGAATGCGGCAAATTAAAAGGTAAAATTTCAGAACCTCTTAAAAAGTTCCAAATCCAGAATAGAGGTACCGAAAAATATAATATGTTTCCAAAAAGCTATCGCGTCAGGAGGGAAGCGAGCGTTTTTTTTATTGTTGAAAAACATCGAAAGACTGCTGACTGTCTAAAAAAACGCAGATGATAATTGAGCTGACAACATGTGCCGTAACAAGTTATTAGTGTTTTGGAGAGTGAACTGTTATCCAGAAAGAAGGTGTATTGGAGCGCAGAAATACATTAATAGGCGGTGTGGAAATATGAATGTTGAGTCCAGTGGATGCGGGACTTCAAGTGGTGAAATTGTGGTGGCAGTGGGACGCGGGATGGGTTCGCGAACCGACGGCAACCGCATTCGGACTTTTACAGGGATTGTGAACATTTTGGCAGACATTAACCGCGCGCAGGGTGGATACTTCGCTGCTCTGCCCGCGCGTTAGATACAGTTGTAAAGAAGGCTAAGTAGATGTAAGTTTTGTTAAAGCTTGAAATAATGTACATGTCGCATCAGGGAATGAACAAGTTGCATGGTATGAGATGAGCAGGCATAGTAAATATTTGTTGACATTAAATGTCAATGTTAGATTTAGATTCTTGTGTACTCGGTGTAGAGCGGCGAGGAAGATTAACGCCATCGACTAAAGACACATAGTACAGACTGCAGCACCATACTCAATACATACGGTGAAATAATGTCATATTTTTTTTTAAGTTGCGGATCAGAAGAAAGATAATCTTCCCTTCAATTAGCCAATACGGATTGGGAGTATAGTTCTTCCGTGCATCTGGTACGAGAGGGAACTTCGGTCGCATGACGCAATATAATTGTTCCAGTGGCAACGGCTGCCTCGTGGCCGAAACATATGATTTGTAAAATTAATTAAACTAGAGTTTGCGAGGGAAACATTTAATAAAAATATGAAGCTCAGAGAGAGATAAAGAAAATCATGATTAAAAACTGGTTCAAAGTCTTTTTTAACAAAATTATAATGAATTTATTATTACTAAAAATGACTGCCTTCTGAATCATGAACGTGAGTAAGGGTAAGGAAAATTCCAGTTACATTTTTTGACAATGATTATTGGAGGATATTCCAGTTGAAAACGGATGTCTTTAAATTTCTATTGCCTATGTTCTTTCATAATTACTGGGCAATATGCAGATTTTGGGTAAGGTTGGAAAATAGGGTTATACGCCTCGAGCACCGTACGTCAGATGTATGATTTTCAAGACCTACCCGCATGTTTATATATGGTTTGACAATGAAGTTTAAGACACAACCTCCAAGACGATATAATTAGGTCAGAAAATATGAAACAGTAGTCACGGAAATTCCACAGCACTTACATTACTTACACCACAACACTTACCAATTGCATTTTTTCTATCATATTGAAACCACATGCTCGGTAATCTTGAAGTTGCATAAATGCAACATTATTGTAAATTATCAATAATAAGCTACGTAAGGACTATTTACATAATAAATGTTCTAAAACAATAAAAGGTTCCAATATTGAGTTAGTATATAGTAAAAAAGTATTGTGTAATATTTAAATTAAAAATTGAATTTCAAAAACAAAATCCATTTAATTATCTCAAAGTTTCAAAATACACGAATTAAAGTTTATGCTCTGATAATAATAAAAAAGGATAAAAAAATATCAAATAGCATTTCTCCTTAACGCAATAGTGATACAGAACAAATTTATATTGAATCAATTTGTCTGTCTGGCACTACAACCCATGGTAGGTTGTGGCCTGCTCAACAATCATCTGCCACTCCTCCTTGTCTTGAGACATCTTTTTCCAATTCTTAATTTTCATTCTATGTAGGTCTTCCACAACATCATTCGATTTTGTTTTTGCTCTGCCCTTACACCTTGTAGCTATCGGTTTCCATTCTGTTAGTTTCTTAGTGTTGGCTGGGCTATCCGGGACAAGCCGCGTCGAAGTCATGATGGCTAACGTATAGCCCAGCCAACATAAACTCCGGCCGCGGAAGCCTACGCAACCAGTTTCTTAGTGATTCTATCTGGATCCATCCTTTCTAGATATCCGTCCTGTGCTATTCTACTAGATTTTATTTCTCCAACTATTTTTTTTGTTTAATCAGTACTTCCAATCCCTCATTTGTTTTCAATCTCCAGATATTATTAGCAAGTCTCTTAGGGCTATAGATTTTCCTCAAGATATTTTTTTCAAACATACTACTTAACTTTCGTAGACTGTTGCTTTATTTCCAAGTTTCTCACCCATACACCACTATTGGTTTTATAACAGTATTGTAAAATAAATATATATAACTCTATATAAGGTATGAATATTTTTGTGGCCATCTCAGACTCTTCTGAATCATCTGTATATCCTGATTCTTCCATAATCCTGAGAGGTAACTCTATGCGAGATCTATGTGCATTGAACTGGTTTCCTAAACCCAGAACCTATATAAAATCTTGACCCTGTACATGTTGGCGGTCTTGTACATTCTTCCCTATGAACAGTAACCACTCTATCCATACAAGAAGTTGAAGGTTAAAGATTGAAACAGTTTTTAAGTTGTTTTTTTCAACTGTTCTGATTTCACAGAAAATTACACAAAAGCTACTTATAATTTGGAGGAAAACAACATAGAATTAATTAAATATTTAATTTTGAATTACAAATTTCATTAATAAAAAAAAAAGTTTAATCTTTGGATGATACATAATTTGTTATAGAATTTTTAACCATATCTTTGAAATCTTTTTAACTATTAACTTTACATCACTGTGAGCAGTGGGGATCATCATTCAGGGTCCCTTACTTGAGCAATGTACTTCTCAATTGAATTAATTTATGAACTACGTGCTGCCCCAAGCCAGAATTACAGCCATATCTTAGGCTATCATATTCTGACATTCTTTGGAACTGATCTAAGAGTTCTGGAATGAAATTTGAATTAGTGATAAAGTTAACATTTTCATATTTTTGGTACTTAAGACAAAACACATTTCATGTACACACACACACACACAAACAAAAATCACAAAGAACAAGTTACCATACAACTCAATTTAAATAACCTTTATTTCAAAAACAATAAATAAATTCTGATATCTGTGACCAAGGATATATACTGTTAAATTGTGCCAAAAAGAATAGGCATGTGCTCACAGAGTACAAACGATACATTAAATTTCATGACTTTGGCAGAAATCTCCATGAAAAAATTCTACACACAATAACATACTATAAACAGTCCTAAGACAATATAAATCCTTGGTCAGCTTGCAAGCAGGGAAAAAGTAGGAGCACATGAATGATGTTGGTATCAATATCCAGAAAAACAAACTGCATGTGAAAGATCCAAGGCAGAATAATAGATTTTTCTCTCAAACTTAAGACATCTCTTCAAACAATTTGTACTGACTGAAATACAGTATAGAAACAAATGTCTATATATTTCAATATAAAATGAAATTTATAAACAGGATTTCAATTCATCATCCTAATATTATGCTTCAATAAGAAGTGCAGCGAATCTTAACCTTAGAAATAGATCCTTACATGGTTGCACAAGCCCTCTGAAAAAGTAAATTACATGACTAAGACAAAAATAAAATAAAATAAAAAACAACCATTTTACAGCTCATGCTATAACATGTCCAATTAAAATTCATAAATTCAATATGTATATGTATATTCATAGTTATATAAAAATTGTACAACCAAAATATGTTTAATAACTAATATATACAATAGAATAGTATGGGTGTCTTTAAGAACTAGGAGTAACGTCTTAGTTTACAATTGCACACTTTCATTCACACTATTCTAAAACCAATCAAATACGTTTATTTTATAACATTCATACATCCGTTTAAAGCACTTCTATATTTACTGTCTCCAAATGATAACACATTTCAGCTAGTTTCAGATGTTATGATAACTGTACTCATGTTTCCACACTCAAAATCACTACTAAAGCAGTATGGAATATTTTGAAAAGTTAAGGTCTGTACATTTGTACATATTATGAAAAAATTGTGCTACAGAATTTGTACTTGTGCTGTGTCTAATATGGGGAATCTATTACAAATAGTTCAAATTCAGGTCAAAATTGTACTTTCACAAATGTGAAAACATGAGTTTAAATGCAGTAACACTAAGGAGCACATGTATTCAACATTCACTGCAATATGGAAATATTAAATCTCACTGAAATTTACAATCCAATAACCTGAAATCGAAGTACTAGCCATTTCCATTTAACATTCCACTGATGAGACAAAAACAAAACAATAAAACTGTCATAAACCATCTGATAGAAATATCCAGCAATCCAATGAGTTTACAAAAAATTACCACAGACTTTTTAACAATGATGATACATATTGTTAACACACAACCAAGTTTTGCAGGGTTCCAAACTTATGCAAGTAGTGCAACAAGTGAATTAACCACAAAATGCAATATGGCTCCTTCAACCCAAGACAAACTTTTAAACCAACGAGTAGGTACTGCAACCAGATGAAATGAAACAGAAATTGTACAGAGAGCAAGTTCAAATGGTATTCTAATGTACTAGTTTTGGAAGAAAATGAAAAAGGGCTATATAGCCCTTCATGGCTTAAAACAAAACACTCGCAATTACACAACTTAAAGAAACCAAGGTGCTGCCATTATAATGCAACAAGGCATGGAATGCATGAATTGCAAAACGGCACTTAAAAAGACCCAAGAGTATAGGGAGCACTTTTCCTTTAGAACTTTAATAGACATCAATCACAGAAAGAATAAGTATTGCATTAGTTTATTTAAAAATTGATCGGATGCCACAAGTGAAGGTCCCCTGAGGAGTATCAGTTTAGACAGCAAAGAACAGGCAGTTTCTAGTAAGAGATTACACTAACATTAATATTACTAGACCGCTTTGGTGTTGTAAAGATCAAGACAAGGAACAGTAAAATTCACTTCAGAGAAATGTTAACTTTTCTCGTAAACAGGACATCACTCCAAATGACCAGACAATAAAAAAGCATAAAGACACAAATGTTCATTACTCACACGATTCCATTGCCATACAAAGTTTGCACAATCTAGGATACATGAACTGGCTTAATTTTCTGCTACCAGCAACTAATATCAAGGCTTAAGCCAATTGAAGCTAGTCGTAGGTTAAAAATATCAACATTTGCTTTTAAAACGCCTATTATAAACATGCTGACATTTAAACCAATACATACTCCTACATTCTGTATAGTTTACAGTTGTCTATATCTTTCACTTATTCTCTACACAAAAATTGACCAAGAATAGTTTTACATAGGAGCATGTATACACTACAACAAAATCCTGTTTCACAATGCTTTATTGTAAAAGAATTTTGGTGTTTCTATACTTTTATATTTTTAGCAGTAGCATGTCATGTACAATATTTGACTTCACTTCACATTTTGATTTCTCAATTAAGTTATTTGAGGAAACATAATTTCTATCCTTGTATTTATAACATTGCTGCAACAACCACATTTTATAATCAATAAATACACAATTATCTGATTACAATGTAATGAAGATGTTATCAAAATCAGTGTTCTTTAAGTAAATTAATCTAACCAGAAAGTTATTAATCAATATAAAGCAAGTTTGGGAATTATATTGAAATGTATAAATGCTTTATTCCATTTCATTAAAAAATGTATAATTGCAATCTAAATTAACAAGGATTACAGCCTTGTAACAAGGACAGAATTACTGTTCTATACATTGTGGATATTATTTAATTAATTATTGGTCCCTATGTTTTTTAAATAGGAAGTTTTCATGGTACATAATATGACACTAAGTAGCAGCAACATTTCATTTTTATTTTGCTTAATTTGATATACCAGCATAATTATATCCTAAAATGTGTTTTGGATAGCAATGGTTCAGTAACTTGATCTGATCCTTCTTTAAATTACAGGAAACTCTAGAAAAAGTCATAGAGTATTTATTAAAATATACCTGTGATAATATTTTCCTGTATCACATTCTAAAGTCTTCTCATCTTGTATGCATATACTAAACAGCAAAAGTAACAATCTAAAGAATCCACTGGTGTTATTTCCATCAAGGAGTAAGCTGAAGACAATAGGAAGTAAGCAGAGACACTGCCCATGGTCCAACATACCACAGCTCGTAATGCCGAATTCAGAATCTCTTTAATATATTATATATATTTAATCTACTATAATTTGTAAGATAAACAAGAAATAAATTATAATTTCCAGTCAACTTAAATAGCAACCATTTGGTTTGTAGTCAACAATGTAACAACAATATAAAATTCTCTATTTTTACAATTATAAATCCATGCTAATTCTTGATTTATTAGTTTGTATATAAAGAGTAGCACACGCTGCGGGAGAAACATAAGAACAAACAATTATGTTTATGCTCTCAATTCTGCTAAATATCAAAAAACTATTAGTTGGAACAGTTCTTTCTTCACATGCTATTTTCACATGTACTCATTTTCTAACAGGTTATACCATGAGACCTATGCAATATCATATTTTACATTAAATAATTTATGTAACAGATATAAAGTAGTTAAAATTGTGCGTTCTTTTATGTATGTGACTATACCCTATTGCACATTACTTTTGGGAAATTCAATGCATTATGAATTTAGACAATTAAAAACATTCATCGAATTTATGAAAAAGTGTGCATATGAGAAAAGCTATAACGTTCCAAACAATTCTACTTGAGAGTTTCTTGTAAGAAAAGATCAAATAGCCCGTAAATATGTAGGATAAACTACACTTGGCCAAAGTTTCCCCACATTATTATTTATGAGCTGTGGGCCTATTGTAATTTAAAACGAACAATGAAAAGAAAATAATTCATCTTTAAAAGTTTATCCTAAACTTCCACAAAGCATTGCAGAAGAAGCCAAATTGACCACACACAATGGTTCCAATGACAAGATGAAAAATTAAAACAATTTCAACAATAGAATGTACAAGGATAAAATGGTATAAAATTACGACCAAGAACATGTAAAAAGGAGAGAATGACTAAGTACCTATCAATATTCAATTACATGTCTTTTACACCATTTGCTTTCAGTCACCTGTGCGCTAAGTGATGACCAGTTCATTTCCACGACAGCAGCAGTCATCAAATCACAGAAGCTGAAAGTCAACCCGCAAACCATTGTACATTCAGCTTGAGAGCTGACATCAGACTATAACCATTTGCATTTAGATTGGAAAATTCATATTTGGAATTTAAAAGAAAAAGGGGTAAATAAGCTGAACCAAACAAAGGCAATGAAACTATGTAACTGTAGAATAAGTTAAAGCAATGACATTACACATGTGTGAATTAATATTTCCCAAAATGAGTATACACATGAACTACTAAGCAAGATGGAGGGGCAAAATATTTTAAAAATTGAGAAGCATGTGCTTGGAAGGGAAGGCACGGCAGAAATCAGTAAGTACTTGACACAAAGAAAGATCATCCTCAATTCCTCCTTTTGACTTTCTTCACAGAAGTAACAAGGCCAACCTCAGCTCCAAAAATTAAACTAAAATATATTTAAAATTTTTGTATCTTTGTAGAATCTTATAAAACAAAATTATCCCACTTTGTCTAAAAACAATGCAAGCAGCAAGCGACACATTTCAGATCATGGTATTAAAAATATTTACAAATGAAAAGTGGGCTGCAAGCAATTGCCTACTTTGTACAGAAAAAAATCACGCAACTCATGCATTAACACAAGTTTTAAATTTGAGCGATAGCACGCTGCTGTCTTGGTTTCATAACAATACCAACTTAACCTAAATGAAGGGCATGATTTAGAGCATGCTTACCAGTACTGAGTGCAAGATAAGTCTCACTTTTTAATTGCATTGGAGTTTAGGTACATTTGGCAACATGCTATACATTGGGTGAATCACCCTGCAGACAAAACTGCAGTTTAAACCAAGCAGTCTTCTGATCATGTATACATTTGCACTGCACACATCTGGACTGACCAGATAAGTTTGGCACTTACCAAACAAAGATTTTGTTTTCTCCATCTAACATCATGTCTACAACACTCCTTAAAGTAATTCATTTCATCCATTACGAAATTCATATATATATATATCTATATAAAAAAAGTACATGTTTTGCAAACATGAGAGAAATCATGATACCAATTTACACACAACAGCCTTCCAAGAAAGTTTTTACCCAGTTGATAGCACAACAGCCGGTGAAGGAGAAATGACAACAGCATGTAAATTCAAGGAATGTTAATCTCATTGAGATAAATTTGGATTTCAATTTATATGAAAGCTTTCAACAATGTAAAATTAGCAGCACCAATGGTCTCCTGCATTTGGTCTGCTGTCCTGTGTATGTCAACACAGGTCTGTTAAACTCTTACACAAAACAGCACACAAATGGTCACATTTCCCTAATCGAGCACACACCTCCACTATCACATTCCCACTACTACAATCGATCCATACGATCCATTCGGAAGTTGTCTTCTGTAGTTGGGTCTGTAATAACATTAAGTGGATCAGTGAGCATCTGTAATCCTTCAAGGTCAATGGAGCCTAGTCCCTCACGCAATGTTTCATCCGAAGGAAATAGGTCAGGATCAAATGTTCCTGAGATGGCTGATCCAAGTTCTTTAACAAGTCCATCACCCGAGTTAGATGAGAAATCTGAAATGTAAAACAAAAATATATATATAAAATTTTTTTCATAACTTTTCTTTTTTTACCTCTACCAAAATTGCCCATTTACCGGTGAGAATGATATCTGGAATACTGGAAGGTGTATTGGGCGTTTGAGGAGTTGTTTGTTGAGTACTGCCTCCACTAGGGTTCATTGTCAATGGACGGTTGTATGGCAGTTGAGAAGACTGGCTGTAGTACACAGAATCTGTTTGTAAATCCTGTGCTGCCACTTGAACAAGTCCATCATCTGGATTATGAGTAATTGCCTGTAAGAATCAAAAGAAAATTCTGTTACACATTTCATGGAATGTATCAGCTTGTGAATTTTGAAGAAAAAAATATTATTCAAAATACAAATCTATTTCAGAGTAAAGAGACATCTTGAAAGTAGGAAATTAAGAAATTAATTATGTATAAATTCTGCCTTAATATTTTAGTGCACTAAGTATGTATAAGTATTATTTTGAATTATATCAGTGACACATTTTAAAGAAAGGCAATTGAATAAACCAAAATACAGTATAAGCATAGGTCTTCACGGGCTTATCAGTTTAAGCATTCGCTGACTTTTTCAGTCTAGCACTACTACTTTGTCAACCTCAAAAACAACTATAGAAAAGGCAATGAACAATGACAGTACTAATAACAACAAGAAAAATTACCACATTTTCTTCAATTGTCAACCTTCCCAGTGGACACCTCAAAATTATGGAAGTGAAAGGAGGAGGAGGAGAAAGAAGAAGGAAGAAAGAAAGGAAGGTGGTGGTAGATCAGATAAAGTAAAACTTCTTCCATATTGCTCCATGTGTCCTAGAGGAGGAGTCATCATTCCTAATTTTGAAACAATTTTAATTTTAAAAAAAACTGTTGAACTGTGGGTTGCCTACATTTTAGCAAGAGGTTTTGTGTATTGCCTACATGTCACCTACAATAAGTGGCTACACAAATATTCACTTCACATCCAATATTACTATTACACCTATGAATACACCTACAAAAAACAAACAAACAACAAAAAACAGTGAGCAGCTATTGTTAAAAAAGAGTTCTTTTTCTTGCAAGCCTTTTACTTAGCTAGTGCTCAATGGTTATAAGACACTTCAATAAGACAGTACGTTTTTGTGTATGGTTCAAAAGAAAGTTTCAAATTAATTTCACATTATCTGAAGATGAATTCAAAAAAGAGAAAGAAAGAGCCTTTCTGTGGTTTTGTTATGGAAAATTGAAGTAATATAAGTAATTTTCAAGTGTAAGGTCAAAAAGTCCAAATTGTATTCATATCTTTAAAACAACAATGGGCAATAAATATGTTGTTTTTTTTATTACATAAGCAAAAGTGATTTACCACCATTTAAACCTTTTTTCTTGGTTCTCTGAAAAGTTTAAAAGAAGTGTTTTACTGTACTTTCCAAAGGAAAAATCAGAACACAAACTTCACATCAATCTGCAATAATGATTGGCCATGTGTCATGGTTGTTTGTATAGTGTTATATTTGTATGAGACTATTTTTTTCTCAATATTTTCGTAATCACCTCACTATTGGCATTCCTCATTATAACTCACATTACCCTCTAGGAAATCATAAGGTTGAAAAATGGGCAGTCCTCTCACACTGCCAATATTCATTAGGTCCGGTTGTACTTAAACTTTCAACATTTATACAGTATCCACTAGTCCTTAGTATGAATGTTTACTTCAACTTCTCTGGTAAATTCATTACAGAACAATTCCATTGCAAAAGGCTGAAGAGACAAGATCTCTTAAAAGTAGGAAATGATAATATTAGTATACATAATTTTGTTTAAGTTTATCTGCTATTGACATTAAATTCTCTTTGGAACCATCCCAATTCAGATTGTCAAAAAAATTATTTATAAAAGAGACATCACTTTCTACACAGAAGGAGCACCATTAAGCAGGCAGGAGAATTTCACCTTTCGCAGGCAAGTTGAGAGATTTCTGGAAGGGCATTTCTGCAAAGAGGAATCCCTTCTTACGCATGCTTATGTTAATGGTATTTGGGAGTAAAACCAATATTGCTAGCTCACTTTGTGAAAATTGGTTGTTTTGATTTCTGATTCTTATTTGCAGGAAAACAATTCCACTGAATCCGACATACTAATAAACACAGAGTAGAATATTCTTCTGGTGTGAATCAGGAGCCTATTGACGAGAGTACTGCGGTCAGACCACAATGTTTTGTTGACCAAGTTAACCCAGCTCGCAAGCTTTGTACTTGCTTACAGCTAGCTTACAGCTTTACCGCCAGTGCGAAATAGTATTTTGGGTTATTTATTTTTATTCTTGGGAATGTTTTACATTAACATTTAACTATGATTTTGTGAAGGGTTAGGGTCCATATTTATATTTTAATATCATATGATGAGTTATTAATATTTATATTACATTATAATCATTAATATTAATGTTTCATAATTATATGATTGATATTAAATATTAACGTTTTTTTTTTTTCAAAATAAAAAGAATAATCAAAATTAGAACATATTTCTCAAACATGAGATTTTTTGAGTGCATTTTATTAGTCTTTACACTAATTTAGTATAAATCTGATTCTGTTTCAGTCAATGGGAGAATACCAGTGCTCGGAACGTAGTGAAACGGTGATATTTTCGTTAAGCTTTTAGAGCGTCATAATTAATACACTACATTTTGACGGTATACATCTCTTGCAGCACTGGGGTTCTAAGAATTTTGTGGCATAAACCAGTATTTTTTCCCATAGAGGCAGTGGTGGATTTAGCATTAAGCTAAATAAGCTACAGCTAAGGCTCTAGAGCCTTAGCTGTATTAAACAAATTTGTAATTAGTTGCAGTACATAAATAAAAATTAAATAAATTTGATAAACATGCTATTGGAGTTGAAACTAGATTTATTTTAAGACTGGCATATTCATTCTCATCTATTTCGGACTGAACTTGTTGAGTGACAAAATTCGTCACAGCAGCTGACTTAAATGGTATCTTTTCATATACTCAACCTTTGGTTTATATAAGTACAAACATTTTAAAATAATAAAATGGGACAGACAATTTAGTCCACATAAGCGTGTCCTTTATTTAGTAAACTCAAGAGAGTTAAAAACAAGTGTCGAGCTACTATGGGACAAGACAAACTCAATTCACTAGCAATAATGTTCAGTGAAAATGATATGCTCTAACGTTTATGTTTCAAGAATACTACTTCTGATTTTATGAACAAAATATTGCATAAATAGCATTTTTAGTAGATTTTTGTCAGTTATAGTGTTGCTATAATAATGCAGCTATTTTGACATAGAGATATTATATAATAGAAAATTGTTATTAATTTTTAAAATAAATAATTGAATAAAATTATTATTTGAAGCATGTTCTATTTGTTTAATTAATTTTTATTAAGGGTCAAATATCCAATTTCAAAAATGTTATTTTTAACTGTAGAGGAGGGTCTCAAACATATTATAGCTTGAGGCTTCAAAAATGGTAAATCCACTGCTACATTTGGGGGATATACACGACCAATCTGAGGAATTGATCATTAGATCTCCAAAATTGTACTGATGAATAGCTTTGTTACAAGACTATAGAAACTATTGAAGTTGTATGTTAAATTACGGCAATAATTTGAAGTGATTTGTTTTTGTTGTTTGACATAAAACACAACAAATAATCTGCAGATAAATCTGTCTAAATATTTGCAAACCATGCTATGACATGTCTCAGCTTTGAACGGCGGTAGGATTGCACACGCATGGTAGTTTAAGAAATGACAAGCGTGGAGTTTAATATTACTACTAATTACTGGTTTATTCGAGTTATTTCTTAATAACCCATGTTTTCGGAAAATGATTAGTTCTGAATATACAAACAAAAATATAAAAAAAGTCTATGAGGAGTTAGTTGCCTGTAGCAGAGAAACTTTTTCAAAGTAGAAGACTTTTTACAACAAAAATTACAAAACCTTAGAACAGCTTTTCACAAAGAGGTAAGAAGAATAGAGAGTTTAAAAAAGAAGCGGAGCTGGAGGGGTGATATTGCAGGCGATTTTCTAAGAAGCGACACTGATGAAGAATGTGTTGTTTAAGAAGTGGCATCTTTTTTCAGTAGCTTATCAATGCTAATCCAACATTTCTTAGCCCTCACGTGATTTAAATGTACCACATTTTTGTCCAAGGCGTATTCTTAAGATCTTGTTCGTTATTTAATTTGTTGAAGCAACAGTCTGAGCTTTTAGCTTCGCGACTTAAAGGATGGAATCTTCTTTCCACCTGCAAGAAAGTGAGTGTTTTTCCTAGTCGCCATGTAGTTTTTCAAAATGGAAAGTGACGTAGCTTTTTGTAATGATATTGAATCTGTTATGAAGACTTTTGGCCACGATTTCAATGTAATTTAATGGTGCTTGTTCATAGATTATAGCAAAATAAGTCTAAAACTAGTACTTCTCCACAATGGGAACAAATTTCCTTCTGTTCAGATTGTTGCAGATTACCTGTAGAAGTATTATGAAAACTTTGAACCGCTTCTCACACTTATCAAATATGAGAAATACTTGACAAATAGCATATAAGTGGAGATCTACTCATCATGCAGCACAAATACACAAAACACTGCTGCTTTCTATGAAGTCGGGGACAGCAGAAACAAAAATATCAGTGGCTGGCTCAGATTGAACTACTGCTTGACAGAAATGTTTAACTCCTCTTGTTGACCTTAAAAATGTGTACCTGCCTCCACATTAAATTGTGTCTCGTGAAAAAATTGTTTTTGTGGAATCATGTATTTGCGAGAGACATTCCCCAGGATCAGTGAAGCAAAACTACAGGAAGGAATATTTATAGGATCACAAATTAGAAAATTGGTGGCCAATTAACATTTTGCTGACTTGCTAAGTGATGAAAAAAAGTATCGTCTTTCACAAGTATCTGTAAAAACTTTTTAGGCAACCATAAAGCTGAGAACTATATTTAATATGAAATATTAAGATCATACCACTGTATGGGATGTAGCATGTAATTTAAATTACATTTTTTAAAATGATCATTTGGATATCTTCATGGATAACCTTGGCCCTTTTAGTGACAAACATGGAGCACAGTTCCACAAGGACATTGCTCAAATGGAAAAATGTTATCAAGGCAATTGGACACAATGTTATCTAACTATTTATATTACAAATATTTGTAGGTATGTTTCTTCACTTTTCTCAGCATTAATGGTATTCTATTTTTTACTGTATACATCTGGATGTGTCGTTATTAGAGG